AGGTATTTTTTAAAAGCTCCACTCTTCTCTCTCCTTTCTCATCTCTCATCTCTCCGACCTCCAATCTCCGGCCTCCGATGAACAAAAATCCGGCAGGTATCAAGTAATCACAAAGATACACAATGTGGTACTCATTGTGATTACTGTGATACCATTTGGTATCACAGTAATCACAATGAGTACCACATTGTGTATCTTTGTGATTACTTGATACCTGCCGGATTTTTGTTCATCGGAGGCCGGAGATTGGAGGTCGGAGAGATGAGAGATGAGAAAGGAGAGAGAAGAGTGGAGCTTTTAAAAAATACCTAAAATGCTCTCTAATTACAATTTTAACTCAAACTACCATAATTATTAATTTCCTAATTTATCCGTTGATTTGTGGTTGAGATTGGATCTCACAGTTACCACAAACTAATCAGTTCTCTCTTGAATGAATATATATATATATATATATATATATATATATAGGGGCCCTAATTAAATGAGAACTAATTAGTTTGTGGTAACCGTAAGTTCCAATCTCAACTACAAATCAATAGATAAATTGAGAAATTTATAATTTTGGTAATTTTGAATTAAAATTTTAATGCAAGGACATTTTAGGTATTTTAAAATTTTCATCTCTTCTCTCTTCTCTCTCCGTCCCCCGTCCTCCGGCCACCGTCCTCCGGTGATACTACAATGGTATCACAATGCATAATATATGTGCTTTGATATCACACTGAAGTCATTTGTGTGGTCGATTGGAGATGTAACACAGTGGTACCCCAATTGGTACTACATTGGGTATCACATTGCATCTTGTATGTATTTTGGGTATCACAACATGGATGATCGGTACGTATTCCTTAAATTTACATTATGGATTTGATTTTGTTTTAAGGTTTGGGATGGTATCATAGTTAGTATCACAATGGTATCACATTGTGTATCACAATGATTATTGGTACCGGTCGGAATAATGTTCATTGGAGGTTGGAGATCCGAGGTCAGGAGAGGTAAGAGGTGAGAGGAGAGAAGAGACAGGATAGAAAAGTTTTTAGAAATATCTAAAATGCCCTCTAATTATAATTTTAACTCAAATTACCAAAATTACTAATTTCCTAATTTATCCGTTGATATGTGGTTGAGATTGGATCTCACAGTTAGCACAAACTAATCAATTCTCCCTTGAATGAGCCCCTATATATATACACACATATAAAACTTACAATACATTTATATGTTTGAACCTTATAAACTAACTAATAAACAACTGATAAATGTGTTTAATTACAAGATTATCGATGAGTTTTACTACTAGAACGAAATGCTTCATAAAACTAATAACCCACAAAATACTCTTTCTCGTTCTTGAAACCACATAAATGCATAATATAAAATCAAGATAAACAACATAAAGATGCATTATTAATAAAATATAACATTAAATTTTACATAAATCTATACCATTTATAAAACATTTGACAAAAACTTTTAAAAATAATTTTTTATGTATGATGTACTGTATATTGATACACATTACTTAAAATTCAAGATTACGAGTAAATTATACACAAGTACAACTTATTAAAGCTTCATGTTTGAATTCGTATAACTAACT